TAACACAAACTCCAGCGTAAAAGGAGTAACCTAACAATAAGCTCACCTCCATTAATTGTTGCATCTGTGGGTTACTCATCAACATCTGCCTAAGCATCTCTGGATTCTGCATCATATTCTGCACTAATGGATTCTCCATCACTTGCTGTAACATCTCTGGATTATTCAAAAGCTACAGCACAACAAAATAAAAACATGCAACATTATGCAAGGCATACTGTGTGCTCCATATTAGCATTCCACAACCCAGTTTATGGAAGGTTGCTTTATGTTACAACATAAATTAGTTGAAACTGTTCCGACAGAAAGCAGTAAATCAATTCTAGAACAAAGTTTAGATATTAAGAAACTATTATTTCTTTGGCTTTTTTTCAGTTTGGCATTTCCCCCGTTGTCAATAGATACAGAATTAATCAACAAACAACTACTACAGTACTTCAACAATAAAACAACATTATTAATCATTTATCAACAACTAATCTGACAAAAAAGAAATTATTTTAAGTATGAATTTTAAAGAAAATAATCTGGCAACAAGTATACTTACTTGTTTGAATTAATAACCTTATGTGTGCGGCCTGCACACCTTGTTATTTATGCCCGACATTGATCATCTGTAAAAGTAATGCACTGGAAAGTCTAAGTTTGCGTGCGACCCTCAGTGTTAAATCAAAAATCCACTTTAGCCTTCTGACCCATCGTTATGCCCACCCCTAAATTGTAAACGCCAAATTTATATTGAAGTATAACAAAAAAACAAATAACTGAAATGTCCAGGATTTTTGGACTTTATGAATTGTTAGTACCTGTAATTTATATACAGTAACTAATGTGTGTTGTTTTGTAGTATTTATCTTGCCATGCTAAGGTATTAGCTTGTAAAAAGATAAACTTTAAAAACTTGAATAAAGGCAGAATTATAGTGCAAATCAAAAATCCACTTTAGCCTTCTGACCCATCGTTATGCCCACCCCTAAATTGTAAACGCCAAATTTATATTGAAGTATAACAAAAAAACAAATAACTGAAATGTCCAGGATTTTTGGACTTTATGAATTGTTAGTACCTGTAATTTATATACAGTAACTAATGTGTGTTGTTTTGTAGTATTTATCTTGCCATGCTAAGGTATTAGCTTGTAAAAAGATAAACTTTAAAAACTTGAATAAAGGCAGAATTATAGTGCAAACAAGTACCTTAAAAGATCAACCTCAAGGACAGAGAATCAAACAACAGATTTTTCTGTAAAAGTAATGCACTGGAAATGTCTAAGTTTGGGTGTGACCCTCCGTGTTAAATCAAAAATCCACTTTTGCATTCTGACCCATTGTTATGCCCACCCCTAAATTATAAATACCAAATTTATATTGAAGTATAACAACAACAAAAACAAATAACCAAAACGTCTAGGATTTTTAGACTTTAGAGAGTATGAATTGTTAGTACCTTTAATTTATAAACTATTGTGTGTTGTTTTTAGTATTCTTCTTGCCATGCTATCTAAAGTATTAGTTTGTACAAAGATAAGCTCAAAAAACCTGAATAAAGGCAGAATTATAGAGCAAACAAGTACCTAGGAGCAACCTCAAGGATAGAGAATCAAACAACAGATTTTCCTGTCTTGATGTACTAATATTATACTGTCAAATTTCTGTAATTAAAACAAACAGCACTTTAGGGACACATTGAAACACAAGCTATTAAGCACTTCATCAGGTGAAGAAAGTGCACTACCTGTGTGAAGGGCTTACCTGTTACTAAATTAATACACTCTGCCTGTTTCTATTATAGATTACTCTGCGGACTATGACGACCACTCATGTAACTGTCAGTTTGTTTAATAAGTACTATTTAGCTATAATAAATCATTAATTCTACTGCCACACAAAATACTGATTAAACACAACACAAGCAAACAACTTCCACAACATGACAACTGAAGCAAAAAATATTAGCAGAAATGTCAAATTTGTTTTGTGCTTGTAATATACAGTATATTTTTTCCTATAATAATACTTATACTGTAGTAAAGCATATAATATTTTAATTATGCAATGGCATAATTCATCAAGGCATATAGCAAACAAAATCCATCAGACAGGTTTATCTATGAATTAATTAGTTTTTAATATGTGCCTTGAATATTAATTTTTTGTAACAAAGTTCATGAGAACTATAACAGCAAGAATAAATTTAACTAAATCAACATAATGTTTTCCATTAGCAGTTTAAAATTCACTTCCATATGTATTCACTTCCATATGTTTAATGGACCTATAGTTAGATTTACAGGCAGTCTCTTGTGAGTGTGGGTCTGGGGATGCATTCTGTTTAGGTATGGAATGACCCAAAAAAATAAATAACAATCAATTTAAACAAAGTAAGCCTGAAATTCTCATGTAGAAATTAAGCGAGTTGTATAACAAAACACACATAGCTATGAAAACAATGTATTTTATTCAGTATTCATCAATAATTCACTGGCAGGATAAAACACACTTATTGTCTTCCTCTTAGTAAAAACTTGGATGCTAAATTTTCTAAAATGTATACTCTAGCAAAAAGTGTAATTTTTTGGGGGTTGTAAAATGACTGCTTAAAGCAGTGGAGAATTCATTTCAGGCACTATAGAATAATTTTCAGGAGTGTAGTGTGCTTCAATGATCCCTTAGTACAGACTGGGCAAGTTGAAAAAGTGATAAATCTTGCAGGTATACATTAGTCTGTACCACCATCCTATGAGTCTGGAATTACCACCAAGTATAATATGCTGGTATGATACTGTAGTAAGATTAAGCTTATATGCATGCATTTTGTCAAAGGAATTGAATAAATAGGCATATTAATAGGAAGTCAAAATGTAGCCTGTCCTATTATTAAGCCAGATAAAAACAGTACACCCCACTGCCCACCCCACTTAAACAATGCTATAGTCCATTTTGGGTAGTTTTTGTCCAGGGTGGTTTATGTCCAATTTCAAAGTTAAAGTATATTCTTGAACATTTGGGAGCCATACAGTAAAATGGTGTTCTAAACAGTTTACATCTACTGTATAAACAACTGTAGTCCCTAGTTTCATTTTCAATTCAGTATGGTTCATTACACAAGAATTGGGATTGCAGAATGAACCCTGAATGGTTTCCTTACAATGTAGGAACAATTAACATAATGTACACAGGTAGTCATGCTTGCTCCTTTTCTGGAACTCTGTGTGATACAATACTTTCTATACAGAAAATGTGACATTGTTACAGATGGTCTGGCCTATAATTGCCAGTCATACCCAACATGTGCATTAGAAAAAATTCTGACACTAATGTTTATCTGATAAATATCTAATGCACATGAAGTACACGCTACACTATCACCCCTGGTCATTTGATGCTAGAAGAACACTTGGTTCTGTAGTTGCAGATGTATTCAGTACAGTACTGTAGCATGCAACCCAACCAGGTACCCATTTAAAGGTAGAGAGTAGGAGAATAACCCATAACTTGCAGCATCATTGTGCTGAATTGCGTATGGGCGTGGTCCGTGACTAAAGATGCAATGGGTTTGCACAAAGTGCACATGAGCAAGATGTATACACTGGACCTCCATTTTAAGTCCTCCGAGAAGATTTGGTTCTACCAACTGAACCATGGGTGAGGAGCGGCTGGAACCAGCGCCGATGTTAAGACTGTAGCTAACGGCGCCCCTGCCTTACCGCTCGGCCACTCGATTCGCCTAATTTAACTTTTAGATGGGGAGAAGCAGATAAAGTGCCTTTCCCAAAGATACAAACAACCACACTTCAGATTAAGCAAGAAATATTTCCTATATATCTTTAACTTATGACTAGTTTGTATTTCCAAACTTAATAAATTAACATATTCTTGAGGATGACCTACCATCTTCAGTGCATTTATTTTATGCATAAAGGTACAGGAATTTGTTTACGACTGGTGTAACAATAGGCATAAAGTTACTTACATTGCTGTCACAGGATTAAAATAATAAAAGGGCATACTATACATTACTGTACATTAGAAATGTGGAAAGTATAAAATTCATAAACCAGTGTAGTATATAATTCGGTGTAGGCCTCAATATAGGCTTTCTTTAGCTTGTATTCTTACTCATAGCCTGATCGCTTTAGCTAGAGTTGCGCATGCTCAATTGTTGCATAAAAAAGTTTGATTTTTCTCTTTTCTATGTCACACCCACTTCGCAGATGCCATTTGGTATTTGGTCATGTCTCAATGAATTCATGATACGTCGTTTTGGTAACTGCACATGCTTGACAACGTCACTTACTCAGTACTGTCTGTCCAGCTTTTCCAAGTGCGTGGTCACTGTGTTTTCATAGATATTTCGGAGATGTTCTTTGGTAACTGCTTATGTGCATTGCTTAGTTCTGAATTGTCATTCCTTCGTAGTAAAAGCTACTGCTTACCTATGGTTTTTTTAATGAATGTTTCCTAATGCTTGTAGCAGCCTAAAGGTGTGGCGAGAAAAACTAATATATTAAAAGCCTAGGGGCTTACCACTGCTAACACCTGCCTCGATATCGCTAAAAGCAACTCCAGACAAACAGAATTTAGAAGTATCATGTATGCCAATGTAAATACAACCGAATCAGCTTCATTTACTTGAGAAAAAAAAAAAACAAGATCTTTAGTCGTATTAGATACTGTATTTCAACTTTAGTTTGTGTCATACACAGGTAAATGCTTGAATTGCACAAACATCGAAATGATAAAAAATACATACAGTAACATGCTAATGCAATAGGACAAAATAGATTTTTTTTTATAATAAAAGTTTCACTTGCAAAATTGTATTTCCTTATATAGGCATTCACATTGTTATTAGCATTCCTCCTTAACAAAAATCACCCAATCTAAACATGTTTTAAATAGTGCGCAGGGCATTTATTATACCTTAAAACCTAATTATGAAGTACATTTTTTCAGTAGGTATCATCTAAAAGAATTCATTAAGTCACAAGAGACTGACAAATAAACCAAAGAATAAGTATAATGTATTAATGAGCAAATAGGCGCCTTTTGAAGATACGATTTGAGAGTCTCCAATGCTCAAAAACTTAATCCTATTTTATCTTATCTTTGCAGACTTGATTACTCAGGGATAACAATTCTTATCGTAGGATCATTCGTGCCATGGCTTTATTTTGGATTTTACTGTGATAATTTGGAGCGTTACATTTACATTGGGTTAATCGTCATCTTGGGTGCTATTGCTGCCGTTGTTGCATTGAGGGATAAGTTTAGCACCCCTGCCTATAGGCCAATACGAGCTGGTAAGTTGCATAATGGTATATCAGTCATTCAATTTTAAGTAAGCACTCATAACACAGTACATAAGCATTCACTCATTTAATTAAGTGAGCAAGTATTTACTTGCGCAGTAAATTGATTGAGTTGAATGAATTTATTTGAATGTTATATTTCTTGAAGGTTTACATGATGAGTATCAATAACAAAATCATAATACTTCCGGTACACCATGTCTAAAAATATGGAGAGTTTTCTCCTGATGACGGTCAGAGCAATCTCACCGAAACTTCAGTACAACCAACCAATCGTATTACCTCAAAAAACTTATTTTTACACATGGTGTACCGGAGGTTTTATGACTTTGTTATTTGAACATTGACTGGTACATTATTTACCCAATTAATTTATAATTCATTTTGGTTTACAAGAATACAGTTACTTTGCCGTCCAATTAAAATGTTAACGAAAATTTAAGTACATTTGCACTGTGCATTATATTATTATAATTACAGTATTATTAGTATTACTATATGATTTTGTTGTATTTATACAGGTGTATTTATAACACTTGGTTTGAGTGCCCTTATACCAGCCATTCATTATGTTGTTCTAAACGGTTTTGCGAAAGCAATTGAGGGCGGTTCACTGCAATGGATGGTGCTAATGGGTGCGCTGTATATTGGTGGTGCAGTTTTGTATGCAGTTAGAGTACCAGAGAGGCTCTTCCCTGGAAAATGTGATATATGGGTATGTAGTTGCAGTTTGTTATGGATTTATCAACATTATAAATATTACTGATACTGTTGTTATTTCACTTGTAAAGTCAAATTTAAAAGCAATATATTTCTCATATGCATTATAAAAAAAATAAGAGAAAAATAAAGTTATTTTTTACTGTAAACACATTTAGCCTAACCATTGGTTAAAACAGGAACACTGATTGCTTATTAGGGTACTTGGTTGTTCATAATTTTCTTGGTATTTTGCCTTTGAAATTTAAAAAAAGATGTAATGGAGACAAGAAACATGTTATCTTATTTATTTGGCCTAAGTGGCAAATCCAATCTTGGTTGGATTGGAAAGTAGTAAGCCTAAATGAATTATCTTGTATGTATTTTGATTTCTTTACAGTTCCAAAGTCATCAGATTTTCCATGTAATGGTCATAGCGGCGGCATTTGTACATTATCACGGGCTCAACGTCATGGCTAAGTACCGCGCACATGTAGGCGAATGTGACGCCATCCTAGGCTCAGGGACCGATAACGGATTTATGACTACGATGACACAAACGGTTTTTTAAGATTTGTGCTTACAAATCACGTCTGTTATGAGGCAGTGTGTAGTGGTTGATGAATAGTATGTTTTGCTTCATAGCCAATCAGAGTAACAACAATTAACAACATTAATATCTTAAACTAAAATAGAGTATAAAATCAGTATCTGCCCCATTGCCACTGTAGCCGTGGGTTAGATCAGTGGGTGTGTCCAAGTACACTATACTGTAAACTCCTTTTTTTTTGTAATCCATTTTATTATCTTGTAATAGTAAATGGGTTGTAAATTTTTGGGCTACAATACGATACCATTGTGTCTAGCCTACACATTTCATTTGGTTGATGCCAAATTAAGGAAAATAGAGAATTTTATACAGGTTCAATGATCTGAAGACATACTGTTCAAGTGTCATTTAAAATCATATAAAATAATCCTGTAATACAATATGTATAGATGGCAACAAGTGTTTAAATAAACAATCAAACCACATGGTTAAGTAAATACATTCCGGAATCAACATACAACATAAAACTGTACTAGTCTGGAGAAACACTTTTTGCGATGAGTGACTGATTTGGTTTGTCTATGCCACATTATGAGGCCAGGGGTCCCAAGTTGAAAGAAGCCACTTCAAGGAGATATGTTGAAATGAGCTGTCTAATTATATTTTGCTGTGCATGTTGATACCCATCAGCACTGATGATTGGGAGACAATTGATAAAACAGTAGTAAAAACATGCAAATATCTTGAGTTTGCATGACATTGGATATTTTCCCGGAGATTCTTTTTATTTGCGAGAGTGCAGGAGGCCTGCCCAATTTCCGGGAGACTCTTCAACTCCTGCAGGAGACCCCTATGAGACAAGCATGCCTTCTATAATTGTTGTCGACCAGGAACTCGCTGACACGATTCTATGGAGAATCAAAAATGGCAGCTGAGGTTGTGTACATATTTGGTAGCATTGATTACATGTCATTTTGGAACCATTAACATTTGGAATGAATCTATAGAGTGATGCATAAAAAGATGCCTGCCTTCCAATCTCAGGGTCATAGGTTTTCTGTCAGATCAGGATTTGTTTTCCCAATTAAGAAACAACTCTACTCACTCAGAATCACAAAGAGACTTATAAAGCATCATTCCATCCTTAAATTGGCAAATGTACTTGCTGATGGATGTGAAAGATAGTAATAATAGCAAATGTGAATATGAATATAGATACAGCACCCACGTAGTTGTGGTATAATTAGTACAATATAGAGACAGACAAAGTGTATACATTAATTTATTGAAGTGCAAGCTTGCATGCATAGAGTGTACTGCTTCAGGTGAATGATAAGTGTCCAATACAATCCTTAGCCTTGCCCAGACTGTCAACTTTTATTTGAAAAAAAATTTGTGACATACCTAAATATGGTCATGATGACATCACATTATGGCCATGCATTATTTTATGACTGTATATGGGAATAAAATAACTTTTGTCTTTGATAATGTGGACTGAGCTTTATAAAAAAAATCAAATAAAAAAATGATGGTAAGCACCACGTTACAATGGCAACTCATCTGGCATTAACTGACCCATACACGACTATACCGTAAAACCTTGAATTGAAGCCCCCTCCCCCACCCTTTGGTTTGCAAAATTAGCCTCGAAAAGAAGCCCATCTCAAGATAGCATAGGCTTCTTTTCGAGAGAGTACAGTACATACACTGTACATGAATTTTAAAGAAACAAAATAAATGAAAAACATGCTTTGTTTATACATAACAGTAGATAGGGGATTTAATGCCAGTTAATGCACTCCATGATACAGATTAATGTTACAGTGTCACTATTTAATGTTTTATAGTACTAATTCCTAAAATTTTACAGCATTTATTTTTGAAAAGAAGACCCCTCTTTACTTTGCAAAAGTAGCCTCGAAAAGAAGCCAATCTTCAAAAGAAGCCCATCCAAAGTTCGCAAAAAAAAAAAAAAGAGCCCAGGGCTTCAATTTAAGGTTTGACAGTATATTGGCATACAAATTATCGGTTGTACCAGGAAGTCACATGATTAAAAATGACCTGAAAAAAATGCACGCATTGCTGCTTGTTTTGAAACCCTTTGTCAAAAAAAGTTTTAAAATGTATGCAAGTGATAAAAACATAATTATTATTCATATATTATTCATGTTCATGCTGTTTATCAACAGCGACTTCCAGCGACGACTCACACAGGTCAAACAACAGCTAATTTGCATAAAGATCACGCCGATGATCTCTGTTAACACCGCTGCAATGCAGAGGTAACTCAATTGATTAATGTGGTTACTCCATTATGCAGAATTACTAACTCCGTTTACACAGCCACTTAACACCTATATTAACGGATAACGCGATCATCATGGTGATCTTCTGCCGTGTAGACAAGGCGAATGTTTTCTTTTGTTTTCGCAGTTGTTTGCAGCATGTTCCTCACCTTGATAGAAAGAGGTTGCAGTTTCGATTTCCGCTGGAGAAATTTTTTCATAATACTGATAAGAAACATAATTATACAAAAACAATGAAAACCATTTTCATTGCCATTAATAAAAATAACTATATTCTGATAATAATTAAGCATTGTTATGATTTGTAGATTCATGCGTACCATATTTAGATGGTGTGAAAATTGTGAGCACAAATAATTAAGCAATTTGCCTGCATAACTAGGTCTCAACAAAGATTACTGGTTTCCTGCCCCACTACAAAGAATGATTCACCCATTATATCCTGGTTGTTATCTGCCTTTTCCAGATACTTGATTTTTATCATTCACCTGAACTAAATAAAGTCTTGTCCTTTAATAATCATATACAGTACATTAGTGCAGATTGTTAATATTTCTGATTATACATAGAAATGCAAAAATTAGTTATGACTTTTTATGTGTTATAACGAGTTAATACAATTTATGAAAAATATTGGTCAAACCATAACAATGGTAAGGTAAAATTTGTCTAAGGCTGCTTCCCCCCCCCCTCCTTCGTTTCCTTATATTCCACCATCAGAATTAAACAAAGTGTTCACTTAATTTAAAATAGTATTTTTCTGCCTGACATTCAGATGATATAGAAAGTTTATATATATTTAATAATTATAATTTTAATATGATCATTGAGTAAATGAAAAATTCATAGTTTTAGCTATTCCCTCTTGTAGTATATACTGTACAATGTTAAAGCATTCAAATATTTGGCTTAACAAATTTATAATTTAATGGTACTATAAATAAGTGAAGAGAGGATTAGAATGTAGTTGTGGGTTGCTGAAATGTACAGTGGTAGAGGAATACTCTTAAGTGGCATATTTAAGCAAGTGTGTTGAATCATGGACCTATTTATAAGATTATTAATAGGTCCATGGTTGAATCGCCATTCATCAGGATGAGTCATTGATTTCAGATCCTGGAAACGTTTTTTATTGTCATACCATTTGAAATCATTAATGTTTTCCTGGAAACATTTGTATTTAACCTGTAAATTGATAATTGCCTTTATTATAATCATGCAGGCCTACCTTTATTGAACAAAATGCTGTTATTCGAAAAAAAAAAAAAGGTGGGCTTGGGTAATGTAAGCACATGCAGACAACCCGACTATATTTGAAGTGTTTTTTTATTAACCTCAGATTAATAATTGAATGTAAAACTGTGGGCTACTTCTATCATTCAACATGTAGTTATAAGCACTGCCTTACTCAACAGTTGTGAAGAGATGAAAGAAAGAAGGTGCATTCTTTTTATCTATGTTATTACGTTTAGAGTGTTAGATAAACAAATGTTGGGTCTAAAGCCAGGCATTCATTGCACCCGATGTGACGTCGTTCAGTGTGATTCTATGAAGAACACAGGGACAAGTGAGCAACAAATCGTTTTTTATGATGATCCGGATAAATTCAGACTGCCGCTGACAATCAGCTGATGGTGTCGCGATGCCTAGCGCTCACAAGGAGTGTCATGCGACACTGCCGTACAACCAGTGAATGCCCGGCTTTACTCGGAACTTGACAGTTATTTTGCGGACAGCTATTTATAGTTAGATTTTTGGGATGTATTTATAAAGATAAAATTTGGATTAGTGTTCAGATGTTTTTTAAACATTAGTCATCAATTGTTAATATTGATAAATTTGAAATATGTCTAAATAATCCAAATATGGGTGTAGAGAGAGAGACTGGTATTCGGTGGGGTTTTTTAAATAACTATTGGAATTGATACTGTAACAAGTTTTGAGATAATTTAAGGCACAAAAACTATTTTTAACTACAAGATGCAGGTCTAGAATTAGATGTGTGGTAAAAGTATGTTACAGGTGTATATAAATATCATATTGTTATAATAATAATAATAATTATTATTATTATTATTATAATTATTATTGTTATTATTATTATTGTTATTGTTATATTTAGGTGTAGTCCAGCTGTGCACATGAGGCTATATTTGTATAGAGTGTGAGCTAATCACAATGATGAATAGTTCATGATAGACATTATAGAAGTCCCATTTCAATTTTTTATGTTGATCCAGGTGATTCAAAATGCTTTATTGACATTACTCTGTATGTTATACTATTAAATTCCAATTGAATCAATTGGAAAAAACTTAACTGTTTCTGTGGTAAAGATATAGGCATATGAGATTGCAATAATGGGATGCATAGATGGATACTAACATTATGGATGTATTATCTTTATGCGTATATCCACAAGAAATTGACTTAATAATATTTGATAAAGTTGTTGCCAAATTAATTGAAGTGTCTCCAGGAATTGCTTTATGCAGTGGCCTTCTTTCATTCTTAGTTGTTGCTGGAAGACGTCAGCGCTGTGCACAGATGAGTTGCCAAAGAAGTTAGAGCCACCTTCAGAAACCACCTAGTAATATGTATCACTCGTTTCCTATTCTTGATTTTTGGTATAAAAACTGTGGGAATAATGGAATAAACACTCAAGGTTCACATAATTCCCCGTAATATATACTGCCATGCTTTTTTATTATCACTGGTATCAATAAAACAGATATTTATATATTAAAAACTAGATAGGTTAATTGTTCTGTATCATCACCTTGTACATTTCTCCTCCATGCTGTAAGCAGAAATTCATTTTTTTCAATAATACATCTCTGAATCGGCAGAGAGGCAGCGGAGAGAATTCTGAGACCATTGAATTGCAATTTGTTTGACTGCATTTTTTTTTATAAAAGACTCATCACGGCCCAATATTTTATCTTTTGTGATGGTTGACATATTTGCAGACACCCCCAGTACTCTCCTCCCCCCCCCCCAACAGTATTGCTGTCTTTGAAGGTTTACAATCAACCTTCAGTTACCTTAGCTGTAAGTTAAAACAGACATTTTGTAAAGGAGTTTCGCAAAACACTATGCATTTCAGAAATATATTTATTTTGTTTTTGCCCACATCATGACATGAAGGGTGGAGACAATGTACAATAATAAACGAGTACCAGTATGAGAATTTTGTTTTTCTTTTTTTGTCATTTTGTCATTTTCTGTAAGAGCTCTATCCACTGTATTATATTTCATGGTCATGACACGATGTCACCACTAACCAAAACAACTTAGAAATAGCAAAAAGCACATTGTATGCAATATTAATGATAAGTTAGGAGACTTTCATTAAAACCAAAAAAAGGCCGCTATCATGAGAGCCACCCCAAAATACAATATTGATAAATTTATTACAGTATATGTACAGTATATGTATATTCACACACATACATATAAACAAACACAAACTTTTACACACAAATTCACAAAGACAGTACACATACATATACATATACTGTACTCAAAAATATAAACTGATAAACACCTAGAGCTTTGAACGCATGCTTATATACTCAATAAAGAAAAAAAAAAGAGGGGCAAATGAAATTATTCAACAATACAGTATATCAATAGGGTTCTTAATGGGATAAAGATAATGTGTGCAATAAAATATACTTTCTTAGTTTTATAAAACCTTTCATAGCAAAATAAAAGCAATTCAAATAAATAACGAGGCCAGAACCTTTAAAATGGAAAGATCTTGAAGCATTTCAGTTACGATTACATATGTAACAGTTAACAATATGGCAGAACTGATCGTATTCACCAATAATTTCTATTTTTAGCATAATTAGCAAAACCAGACAAGCTATACGTTAAAACCTTAGAAATAATACAATTTGGTGTTGTATCAACGATTCTTGAAATATTATATTCACATAGTAGGAGCACTTGATTATGGCGACAGAACTTCAGGCATTAATCTAATATTTTACATAGCAAATTGGTGTTTTTCTGTAAGTCAAATTTTATTTAAGTCTAACAGTTTTTCAATGCCATTTTGAATTCGACTTAAGCAAGTTCAACTGTATTGTCTGTTTTGAATTAATAATAAACAATGGATAGACAGGTGATATTTTTTTTTCTGTACAGTACATAAAGTACTGTATACAGTATAATAGAAAGTGTCATTATGCTGCCACAAATAATGAATGGGACTGTATAAGATAAAATTACAATCTAAAATGTCAAACATTTTGCCTTATAGCATTTGAAATCTTGTTAACATTATACCACACACCAAAACAGAGATACATGAGTAAAATAAAGACACTGGGAGCACTTTATAAGATTAACTTGATTTATTCATTACACAAGCTTTCAACAAGTGAGTAAAATTAAAATGTATAGTTACATATTATTATATGACAAAATAACAGTCAAATTCTATATGGGAATTATACCCTATAGTTATGTACCTAGGGAAATGCGTAGGGCGCATCCTCCCCACCCTAATTGAAACCCTCCTCAGTCGACGCATCCCACCACCCCTCCCCCCCCCT